AAGCTTAAATGGAACTTCAACATGGCTACACTTGGTTAAAACACTACGAAAATACATCGTACATTAATCATAGACGAAACACTAACTCTTGATCCCATAAACCCATATTTAATTACAACTCGTTTTCAAGGAGATATACATCATAGTTATATAACCAAAAATCTATGAATATACAATAGAATGTCCAATTACAAAAGTAGCAAAAGTAGTCCTCTAACAACTTTCAAGCTTGAGGTGGATTGTCGTCCACCGGTTCATTTCCAAGACCTGAAAAAATATATATATATAGTAGGGTGAGTATAAAGCTCAGCATGTGACACTTAAGACACACATCTTATGTCCTTGTGAATCCAATCAAAGCATAGGCCAATGGGAAATGGGGATCATGCAACATAGGGGATCAATACAACATACAAGTCAAATCCAAGTATAATCAATGCAATGTAGTGAAATGCAACACATGCAAATGTCACTCCCTATTTTCATCCTTCAAAACCATCACATTCAAATTGTTAATACAGCCCGCCCTTTGGTAACCCCGTCGCGACACGAGAGGAGGATTGGCTAGTGTCCCTGACCCTTGGTAACCCTGCGGCACCATTATGGGACCAGCTAGCTCAACCACGCTAGGGCGACTCTCTAGTCCCCTCTAGGCTATATTAACCTCTGGCCCATTGGTAACCCCGCAGCGACCGAGTTTGCATAAAATCATTTCATCAAAACACTTCCTTAAAATTCCCTATTTTCATGTTTCAAGAACAAACTTCTCCCGTTTCATGCAACCCAATGGTACATGCATGTATATATGTTCCATGTTTCCAACATTATAGCATTTAAAGAATTACAACATCCAATCAAGCATATATCATGTTCAACATTTCTAGATAGGTCATCAACATATTAAACACAACAAAATACATCGAATCATGATTTTCATATAAAACAACTCATATAATATTTCTCTAGCCAACATCTCATATGATCATCAACACAATTAATTCTCAAATAAAGCATGTTAGCACATAAGAGAGAGATGTAATTCACAATGGGACAAGAAAGAAGTGGTTTAAGAGCCCCTACCTCAAAAGTGAGCAAAACCCTTGAAAATGGGTCCTCAAATTCGAAATCCAAAGGGTGTTCAAAGTCTGAAATTGTTGGTACCAGTGCGTAGAGCTCGTCGTGCTCTTCGTTTTGCCTCAAACGGCACCTTAATCCGATAAGAGATGAGAGAGAAATCTTGTCTCAAAGATTGGCTTAAAAAAGAAAAGAAAATGGAGTGAAGAATTGAGAGAGAGAAAGTGATATGGGGAGAGAGAAAAATGAGAGTGAAAATGTGGTCTTTAGACCACTTGTGCATAGTGGTGGGTCCCACCACTCATTTTCTTTTCTTTTCACTTTTTCTTTTGCTTGAAAATACACCTCACACATATGAATGCACCACCAAGCATATACTACATGATTCCATAAATTAAAATGCACCAATTGCAATTGGACCCAACCACAATCCCGAACGCAACATGCGAAATGACCAAAATGCCCTTGCATCAATAAAATTTTGGAAAAATTAAGATAAATTTGGAAACATCACAGATATTGTTGCTGCTGTGTCTAGTTTTTTTTTGCTACGGGTAATCTGTTATCCAGTTTTATTCATACCAATATTATGTTAATCCCTAAGTATTCTTTTTCGACTCAGGTTAGTCATTACCGACCTATTTCTTTGTGTAATGTGTCTCATCGGATTATTGTAAAAATTATGATTAACTGCCTGAAAAGGATTATTGGCTCCCTTATCAGTGATTCGCATAGTTCTTTTATTGCAGGGTGACATATTACGGATAATATTTTAATTACTCATGAAATTTTGCATTTTCTCAAAAATAAGAAAAATGGGGTTAAGGCTTGGCTGGCGTTGAAACTTGATATGAGTAAAGCTTATGATCGGATTGAGTGGGATTTTTTATTATAAATGCTGTCTCATTTGGGTTTGAACACCCATTGGATTCAAATGATCACCTCCTGCATCTCTACAGTTTCTTACTCATTAAAATTTAATGGGAGTTCGGTTGGTTTCTTCAAATCGTCTAGGGGTTTGAGGCAGCGGGATCCTTTATCACCCTATTTATTTATTATATGTGCTGAAGCTCTCTCTCTTGCTCTTTTGTGAGCTTAACAAGCTCAAATATTATCTGGTATTCGTATTTGTTGGGGCACTCCGTCTATTTCTCATCTTTTTTTTTTGCTGATGATTTTATTGTGTTTTGTGCTGCAATTTTGGCAGAAGTTCTTTTTCTAAAACGTATTTTGGCTGATTATGAAAGGGCGTCAGGTCAACAAGTCAATTTTTCTAAATCTTCTATTTTTTTCTCGCCCAATACCATAGGTTCAGTTCGTCGTTTTATTTGTCGCTCCTTAGGTTTGCAAAATCAGGGGCTGTAGGTTCGGTATCTTGGGGTTCCAGCTATTTTTGGTAGATCCAAAAGGGATGTGTTTCAGTTTTACTGACTAAAATTCAAGATCGGTTATCTTTTTAGAAAGCCAAGTCCTTGTCTACGCGAGGGAAAGAAGTGTTGATTAAGGCTGTTTTGAGTGCTTTGCCTACTTATGTTATGTCTTCTTTTAAGCTTTCCACTACTCTGTATCAAGATTTGATGAAACATATTTGTTCCTTTTGGTGGTGTAATAAAGATAAACATCAGGCAATTCACTGGGTTAACTGGGATCTTCTTTATCGGAATAAGAATTAGGGTGGTCTTGGATTTCGTGATCTGGAGGCTTTTAATTTAGCGCTTTTAGCGAAGCATGCTTGGCATTTTCAGGTTCAGAAGCAAAGTTTGTTGTATCAGCTTCTTAAGGCTAAGTATTTTCCAGACTCGTCTTTATTGGATGCTTCTTTGGGATCTTATCCTTTTTGGGGTTGGCGTAGTGTTTGGTCCTCCTAGTCTTTATTGCGGCAGGGCTTACGATCATTGATTGGGAATGGCAATTCTACGTATATCTGGGATGATCATTGGGTCCTTACAATGGATCAGAAACTTTCACCGCTTCAGGATTTTGTTCCATACTCTTATGTGACGGAGTTGATTGATCCTGATACTTCTTCTTGGAAAGTGGATGTTTTGTCTAAGTGTTTTCCTCCTCTTACAGTGTAGGAAATTCTTAATATTCATATAAGTCGTTGGGATAAACCCAATGTTCTCATTTGGGCTCCGGAGCTGTCGGGTAAATTTTCTGTGCGTTCTGCTTATAAATTGGTTGTGTCCATGTCTTCTTATCTAGGCCCTCCAGTTCATTCGGCTGATTAGTCTTCTATTTGGCGGTGCGTTCGCTCTCTAAGGTGCAACATTTTCTTTGGAGATGTTATCTTCATGCTTTGCCTGTTCGTGTGGCTTTGTTGTCTTGTGTGTATACTAGCTCGTCTATTTGTCCTCATTGCAATTTGCAGGAGGAAACTGTTATGCATCTTCTTTTTTCTTGCCCTCATTCTCTAAAGGTGTGGAAACTTTCTCCGTTGCGTATTGATTTCTCAGGTCTCTCTTTTTCTTCCTTCAGGGTTGGTTGGAGTTTTCTTATACATCAGGCTCGGATTTCTTCAAACTTTGCGGCTGTTCTTAGTTTGATTTCTTTTTGTGCTTAGGGTATTTGGATAGGCCAGGAATCGGTTGGTTTTTGATGGGATTTTATGAGAGCTGGAGCTTATGGTTCAAAAAGCAGTTATTAGTTTTTGGGAATTCAAAGAGGCTCGGTCTCTCAGCTCATCCTTACTGGTGTCTTGGTGTCCTCCCCCAACTGGAACTATCAAATGTAATTATGATGCTTCCTTTTGTCGACAGTCGTTACTGGGGAGCGACGAAGTTGTTTTCCGAGATTATAGAGGTGCAGTACTTCAAGTAGTTGTTTTTTGTCCGTTTTTGACTTCTTTTTCTTTGCCGGCGGAAGCTGTGGTTTGTCAGCGTGCTGTCCTTTGTGCTTTTGTTTTAGGATTTTCTTGTTTATCGGATGCTAAAGTTGTTATGGATGGGGTGTTGAATGGCGAATCTTTTGTTTTAGGATTTTCTTATTTGTTTTGATATTGCCCAAGATCTTCGAAGATTTTCTTCTGCTTCTTTGTCTCATGTTCGGCGCCAAGGTAATAGGGTGGCTCATGCTTTAGTTGCTCTTTCACGTCCTGAACTTGGATTGGATCAATTTTTGCCTGCTCTTCCTCCTTCCATTATGCCTTTGGCTATGGCGGATGTGGGGTGTTAGTTGTGTTGTGTGGTTTGGGTTTTTTTGTCTTATTGTTTTTGCCAGGAAAAATAAAAAAATAAAAAATAGTCATCTACCCATTTGTCTCTTCCCATTTTATTTTATTTTATCACATCATCTCCTTATTGGACTTATCTAGAGACCCAAATCAAATTTGAACTTGTTTGAAACTTTGAACATTCGTCTATCATTTGAATTTGGACAATAAATTTCTACTGTAATATTTATGCTGAGATTTCTAATCAAAGAAAATTTGGTTTAAAGTTTAAATTAATTTAGTTTCAAATTGCGGATTCCATGCATCAATCCCAGTATTAGTTAAATCCTTCCACTAACCAAATTAACAAAAATACTGCAAGAAACCCTTTTTGAAATTCTAAATCTAAGGCATTAAACTTATATACAACAGGCTAGTGGCCTAACTGTACCAGGCTCCTACTCCCCAAAGAGAGGTCAGAAGTTCGAGCCTCTATGGAGGCATGTGTATGTGAAAAAAAAAAAAAACACAAACAAACAAATTTTTTATCATCTTCACTTATTACCCTAGTTAAAATTCTTTATAATATATGTATGTATATTGTATAACACCAGTACCTGTACATAACTTGAAAAAACTCAAGTTCAACATGCAAATATCTGATGTAGTCGCATAACATGAATTACAGAAAGCTAAATATTGGCATTGATTGCATGATACAACTGGAATTTTATGTGTTACACTTTTGTGTGATTCAATTAAATTACATACATATTTCTGTCCAGCCACAACCTAACTCCGCAATTTGAGACAATGTGTTTAGAGCTCAACAAATGAATTGCTATCTATCAGACGAGGCTCAACTCATCCATTATACCAGCAGCAGCTTCCGCATACTCTTCTGATTCAATGTCAAGAAGCTTCTTCCGTAACGACACAAGTTCTTCCCCAGCACCACATATGTAGGCAAAAGTTTGCCTGCCCAAAAGAGTTGCACCTTCCATGATGTCTATATAATCCTATACAGAGTACATCATTTAATAACAAATTCCAATTTAATAAAGTGTGTCAAATGAATTTATTGAATAATGGGGATTTATCAAAATATATTGTTAGTAATGTTCACCAAGCTATGGTCTGCTAAATGAATCATATGATTGAGGAACAGAGTGTTGGGATTTATATGCCCTGGCATAGCAAATTCTTATTTGGATTATAGTGACATATGTTCCTGACGTTTCTGAAATATTTATACTTTATACAATTGGTGAATTCAATGTATTATGTTTCGATTCATTATAAAATTGATAGTGTCCACTTGATTACAAGAGATATTTATATATGTATGTGATGACGATCAATACATGAATATAAATAGTAATAATAAATTGTTCATAGTCGGTAATTATGGTTGGACTCATAATTAATTAAGACTTGAACTGAATCCGCATTAGGTTGAGATATTGCGAGAGCCGTCGTATGCAATTACTCCCTATCACCGTCATGGCATTTGACTCTTAAGCGTGAGAAAAGTATAAACTTTTTTATTAATTAATAATTACTTTGATTTGTTCGGCGGATACTTCGGGATCCTTAGACCGACACTTTAGGTAGTTATGTAATTAATAGTTAGACAGTTATATTATCAATATTTGCATCATTGCTACTTGTATTTATTTTGTATTGATTATGGTTGATCACGAAGTAAATTCGAAGGCCTTCGTGTGTTTTTAGACAAAATGATTTATTATATATATATTTATTTAAATTATTATTTTTGTCAAACAAATGATTTATTGTGATCGAGCCAGATATAATCAATGGTACCAAAATAAATATATTAATTAAGTAGTCGGATTGATGACTTTATTTATCCGATAACTAATTATGTATAGAGGGGTCAAAGTGCAATATTGACTTAGAGGTTATTTATTATTTAATTGGAGTTCAATTAATTTCTTTTAGTGGAGTAGAAATTAATTTATGAATCAATTGAATTGGGTCCATTGACCGGACCAATTATTAATTCATTGTAGCCAATAAAATAATAAGTCCAAAGGATTCTCACTCATAGCCCAACTTGATATTGGAATCCTATTAGATTTGAGACGTGTGAATTAGAGATTGAGAAGGATTTATTGTTTCCTTTTCTTTATCTTTAAGTTGCCTATATATATACATGGTCTATGTATATTTGAGGAGTAATTTTTGGAAGAAGGAAAAAGGAATTTATTTTCTCTCTATAGAAAATTAGGGTTAATGTTCTCATCTAATGGAGGCTCCCACAAGTCTAGTTTTTCCAAGGTCATTCATGGAAGCTTATGAGTGATTCCTAACGGCAAAACAATTACCAAGAAGATGGAGATTCAAGAAGAAGGCATCTTGCTAAGGGATGTACAATAAGTGAAAACATTCACTTTAGAGGAAAGATTTAAAGGTTTACTCAGACATTTGATGTAACTATTTAATCTATTAATTGAATGATACATCATATTTTATTTTTGCATAAAACTTATTTCTATATGATGAATCAAGATTTATGAATCAAAATCTCTTGAAATTTTTTTAAAATTAGCACGTTTCCAACACAGAGTGCTCTGGTTCCCTAAGGATATTAGGTTTTGTTTCTCATATTGGAAAATGTATCACAAAAGCTTCATCATTTTGTATATTTTTTATTGTCATTGACAGGCTCACATGTGATTGATAACTCAGATAAGATAAAAGGATTCAAATATTAATTTTCAAAAACATCTTTGGATCATGAATCATCGCATTAAATCGATTTTTCCTTGATTGAATTCAAGCCCAAATGGACATGCAATAAACCAGCATTATCGGTATAGTGAGAAGAATGCATCAAAGCAAAACATTACCTGTTTAGTGTACGAGCCAGCAAGGAAGAAATTTTTCACAGGTGTTTTCTGATCGGGTCTAAATGGATCTTTACCAGGTGCCTCACGATATAAAGATTGCCCAATTTTGACAACAGATGACCAAGTAACTTCCAGACCTTGAGAAGATGGGAACAAAGCTAAAACCTGACACGGTTAAAACAAATTAGACAATATGTTCACATTATTGCAAAATTTCTTGAATTCATTTATGTTTCAAAACTATTTTCGAAGCATTGGATAATATATGAGAACTCTTCAGGTGTTTTACCATCAGTGGGAAAAATGCTGGGTAACGGCTTTCTCTCTTTCTTTCTTTTTTCCGGAAGTTTTTTTACCATCAGTTGTTCGAATGCAATGTTTGCAAATATCGAAGTTTATTTAATATTTGAAGAAACTTAAGAACTTCAAAGATATTGAGCAACATCAGAAAAGCCCCAAACTTATGATATATAATTAAAAGGTAATTTATTTATTTCATTTCATGTGATAAGCGTATATTTATTCTTTGAACAATCCTATCTGCCCCACCCAGCACCCTCAATTAACAGCGCCACACTGGGTAATGACCTTTGAAAAGTGTAGGATTATTGTTATTTTAGTATATTTTAAACATTAAACGTAGTATACTTAACCTATATTCAGTTCTGTTGAAAATATAAATTAATTAAACACGTGTTCTTATATAATCTTTGGGTTTTTATTTTTGATCTTCTTAAATATTTAGTTTGCACAATCATTATAATTATACTGATCTGCTTCTAATAAATTGCTCTCTTAAGCACCCTCTGACATGCTTTTATAGTATTGCTACCAATTCATAAGCACATTATAAGCTGAAACATGAGGCCCCCAATACGTAAGAGCATTATAAAGCTGCAACATGAGGCCCCAATATATTTACGACTATGTTTGCCAAACCTGTATGGCTGTATAACTATTTCAATCCTTTTGCTTTTCATTTTTGGGTTGGAGTTTTTAAGTATTACCAGGATTTTTAACGTTTCCTACTTGTATATTATAATGTTACAGTTAATACCATGTTGTATTAATGATGGAGTTACTAAAACCAAGAAAACATCAAAAAGAAAATTTCAGAATACAGGGATCCTCCTTAGATGGTACTTACCTGTCTTGAAACTCTATTAATTATTTCATCATTTGGTAACGGCATGTAGGGACCACCAGGTGTAAGCACACATCTGTTAAGAAGAAATAGCATTTAGTAAAACAAATATCCAAATGAATGCCAGGACAAGTGCAGTGACTGAAGTAATTTGCAAAAGTTTTAGGGGATTTATAAGCAAATATATGGAGCAAAGTATTGAGGTCAAAAACATGTTTTGAAATATATTCTTAAATAAAATAAAAAACAATCCGCCCCCGGGGGCCTAGCAGTGATGGCAAGGTGTTGGCCTTGGGTAATCACTCGCCCGGGTTCGAGCCTTACCCCCTGCTAGAACTTCGACTCATCCGGTATTGTGGCTATGGGGCTGGGCTACAATATCCCCAGTTTGGTGCATTGGGGTAGGGTCCGAAAGGTCTTGTCTTGGGGAGTTCTGGGTTATCAAAAAAAAGAAAAAGAAAAAAAGAAAAAGACAATCCACTCAAAAACTGAAACTAAATCATGGAAATGTCAGATGTCAGAATGAGTTGAAAAACACAGTATATAATCAGAAGCAAAACAACAAGGAGAACCTGACTAGAAACAAACAACATGAGCAAATAACTTTCATCTAGAAAAAAGATGCAGAAATTCATGTGATCATGCTAATTAAACTAGAAAGGAATATCTGAACTGAACTTGCAATATTTTATATGAAGAATAGTCCAATAAAGTATTTTTAAGGCAACAAAATCAATATTTGCAACAAATATGCAGACGAATATATCAACAATAGTTTATTGTATTATACTTCATAATAATAACAAAGTTCATTGATAAATTATGTTACACCTACAGGTCACAGGGCCTACCCAGCCAACCAACCAATATGATGCCTAGTATAATGACAATGATAGATATAAATATCCAGAGACATAGATCAGTTCTCATATACCATGTGCAACATGCATGTAGTTTAAACAAATGAAGTCATTGGTCAGGAATACATCTAATAATGTTAAGGATATTTTTTGCACAACCAAACTAAGTGCCAAAAAATATATTATGGTGGCAAAGGACCTTGTATCAAAATTAACAAATTAATAGCTTACAGACTATTTCATTTAAGTGGAAACATGCATAGGTTTATCAGCTGCGTCATGTCATAAATGCACGAACACTGATGATTCTGACGATGATACAAGGATAAACAAAAATAATTATCCTTACTGGAGCGATGAACCTTGACCCTCAATATAATAATCCTCTGGGGATGTTAGTGCAAGGTCTGCAAAGCAAGAGAAATCTGCAAGAGAATACCACATTTCATTGGACATTATTGTAAAGTGAAAGCAGAAATAATTCTTGACCCCTCAAATTAAAAATTCACATTTATATAACAGTACTTCACAAAACATAAGACAATCACCTTGACCGTTCTAGATCCTGTAACTCTGTGACCCAGCTATTGTATCTAAGTTGCACTGTGACGACAGGCACTCCAACTAGTTTATAGATATTATCAAAAAATTCCGACTCCCTCCATTGTGGTGGAACTAATCTTTTAATTCCAGGGACGTCACAGGCTGCAATCAAATGGAAAAGTTTAATGAGTTGATGTAATTGAAATGGATAATGGATAGAAGAATATAAATTGTGGAGAAATAGTAAACCACAAACCTGCAACATAAGCATCAGCTTTCACAATTTTCTTTTGTGTAGCCTGAAAGAATAAGAAAATTATTGGGAGTTAATCATCAAAGGAAATGCTCCATGCACAAATGTCAAACCGTCAATAACTGTTAAGTCAGCATCTGTCAACTATACCTTCGGACCCTCAATAATGTAGCTTCCCATTTTCAATTCATATAGTTGTTAAAACTTCATGGTATGGACTTTGATCCTTCAAATATTTTTATAGACTAAAGTGAATATGATCATTCTCTGGATACTCCTGCGTGTTCCCCCTTGGACAAGAACCAATCAGAGAAGTTTATCTGTAAAAAATCATCAAAAAGTTTCACAGATACAGTAAACAAAAGATATATAGTTCTCTCCATGAGAACTGGCAACTCCTAAATACCTGGGAAAAAAAAACTGACAACTCCTGAGCACAACAAAGAATGGTATTTTAAAGTCATTCTCACACTATCCAAATTCCGTATCTGGATCAATAAGAGCCCGCACAACGGAGGAGGAGTGCATGTGCCATCTCTCTAAACGAATGGTTCATGTTTAAAGGGATGTCATGAGTCTGAATAAAATGTCAAAATTTTGTAACTTTGAAAGGTATTTTCTAATTTCAAAAAGTTAAAAGTGATATTATAGTACTATAATATGTCAATGAGATTAGAATGACATCAATCAATAAAATAGAAGCAAAAGCAATTTTTGAATTGGTTCAGTTTGTGAGCTGAGGTAGATGGTGGGGCACTTTAGTCTGTCCTTTTTATCACTCAGACGATCAGACGGTACTGTCGGTAAAAGTTTTAGATACACATTTGTTACTGGACATTGAAATTTAAATAATTATTAATTAAAATTAAATTTATAATTAATACTTAAAATATTGAGTTAATTTAATAAAAAAAAAAACACTTTAGGAAGCCACATTTAGTTAGAATGTAAACACTTAAAAATAAACCCATTAAAAAACACTTTAGGCAAAAGTTATTACAAGTATGTCAATTTTTATTGTTCATGAATACACGAGACAAAATTGCCCTTAAGTACTTTTTGGAATTTACTAAACTATCCTTACTCCTTTTATTTTTTCCCTTACGAGCTATAGCTGGGTTACTCAAATTCAAGAACACATTTTGCAGACATAGGGCACGGTTAAAGAATGGGGTAAAGATGAGTGTTTTGTCCGAGAGAGAAAAAAGAGAGAGGAAGGGGTCGGATCAAAAGAAGAAAGAAGGAACAAGGTTGGACTATAGACATTCCATTTTCTCAATCATCTTCATAATCATCACATCATAGGACCATGTTTCATATGACCTAACAACCCAACCGACGATCATTCCGGCGACCCAAATTGCCATGGGCCTTTGGTTTATTGTGTTTCTTTTGCTACACCAGGTGCCAAATGCATCAGAGCAATAAGTGTAAAATTTTTTCTGAATAATATAAAACATTTACTGAATAATATAAAACTTGCACTTAAAGAGCGTAAAATGGTCATTAGACTCGTGTAAAACATTCACTGCACCAATTTAAAATATAATAATTCAGTGTAAAGAAGTAAATGCAATTCAAATCTGTCAAGGGAGTGTTAAAAGGACCGCTTTTGAATACTTCTATCTTACATTTGGTATTCGGTTTCTTTGCATGTATTGTAATGATTAAGTTTGTACTTTAACTTCCAATTTAAAGCAATAAAAAAATATTATAACTTAAACAACTTGTAACGACCCAAAAAGATACCAAAATAATAATAATAATAAAATATATAAAATTTCGGCATGACCGTCGCAGAAAAGTCCCTCTACAACCTGTTGAAATACATAAAAATGTAATAGCCTCACTTGGCCTTAAAACTAATCTATCATGTCCCAACGCACAATACAAATATTATACCACATTCCCAAAATGATTACATACGTATAAAAAGTCCCGTTCCTCAATCTCATCCAAATAAGGAACATACTTTAGTTACATCAAGTTACAGTCCATAAAATATAGTTAAAATTTAAAAGTCCATAACTTACAACATTATACCAATTAAATTAATGTTTCAAAAAATAGTTAAGATTACATTTACAAAATATTAGAGTTCTAATACAAAAGATAACAAAATAAAATATGTCTCCAATCTCGTCTAAACTTGTGGTGGGTCGCATCCGCCACCTCTTTTTCGTGTCCTGAAAAATGTTTAAAATAATGGAATGAGCATAAACTCAGTAGGAAGTATCTAAGACATATTTCTTATGACTCCGTGAATCCACGCAAAGAATAGGAAAAAATATATGGGATCATGCCAATTCCGAGAGAAATACAATCATAATATCAATAGCAATAATCCAAGTCACAAATAAAACATGTCATGCTATAGGATTCAATGTTATGTAATGTCTCTCCCCAATTCCCAAAATAATTCCGTTTCACCGTTCTAAACTATTAATGTAACCCGACCCATAGCACCTCTATGGCGTCACGAGGAAAGGGTTAGCTAGTAATTCCCAAACACATGGCACCTCTATGGCGTCATCTGGGCCTAGGTAGCTCAACCACACTAGAGTCTCTCTCTAGTTCCCTATAGATCATATTAACACCACGGACCACTAAGCGCCTCCTAAGTGTCCGGGTTTTAACAAAATCATTTATCAAAGCATTTCCCAAAAAAAAAAAAAATCATTATTTTTCCTTTCTTTCCAAAACATCTTTCCCATTTTCTTTCCCAAAGCCATGCGTGAATGTCCATATATTACAATGCCGTGAAATGAGAAAAAAATCATACCTTTCGATGCCATGTTAAATATACATTCTCATGTATCATATTAAAACCTTAATCACATAGCATGCTTAACCAAAAAAAAAAAAAAAAAATCTAATAAAAATCATATCATGCTTTCTAATAACTGAGTATCCGGCACATTAGGCATATAAGACATGGAATAAATCACTTAAGCATGTTTCTTCACATCATATTAACAAAATCCAACACATACATATCACTTACAACATTCAAAATTTATATTTCATAAAATTGCCACAAATTAAACATACTATTCAACAAGAATTGAGAAGTAATTCAAAAAAATAAAAAAAATTTATGCCTCAGAAATCCCCTACCTCAAATGAGAGAAAAAGCCCCAATTTAAGCCCTAAATTCGAAATCCCTAGGCTTGGCCAAATGGTGCTTGGCTCATATCAAATTGACGGCCTTGATGAGCTCTCCAACTTTGTTTCACAAGGTATTACCAAATTCCAATTGGTGTGAGAAAGATCAAGCCTTGAAAGCTTGATTGGTGTGAAAAAGAAAAAGAAAACCAAGGGGGAGAGAGAGACTGTCAGGAGTTGAGAGAAGAAATGAGGTTATGAAATGGCCTTTGAAAAGGAAAGTGAATGGGGAGTAGGCCCCACCACTAAGCTAAAATATCCACCTTTTTTTTCCTCCACAAAATATATACATGTATATTATCACACACCATAATTACATATATATATATATATATATATATATATATAAAAATCAAAAACATTACATTCTCCCCAACTTTAAAAGATTTCGTCCCCAAAATCAAGCCATACCTGAGGGAGAAAACAACACTGGATACTTGGAGCAAACCTCCTGTTCAAGCTCCCAAGTAGCCTTCTCAATTCCGTGATGCCTCCAAAGAACATTTACCAATGGTATCATCTTGTTCCTTAACACTTTCTACCGTGTGTCAAGAATTTGAACTGGTCCCTCCTCGTAGGAAACATCCTCATCAATGTCAACCTCAACCCAACTCAAAACGTGAGATGGATCCAATTCGTACCTCTGTAGCATCGATACATGGAAAACATTATGGACCCTATCCATCTATGGTGGCAATATTAGTCTGTAGGCAACCTTTCCTACACTGTCCAAGATCTCAAAAGGTCCAATGAATCGTGGCGACAACTTGCCACTCTTCTCGAACCTCATTAACCCCTTCCGTGGAGAAACTCGAAGAAAAACATAGTCACCCACCTCAAAAGATAGCGGTCATCTCTGCCTATCTGCATAACTCTTCTGTCGGCTCTGAGCTGTAAGTAATATCTGCCTGATCAACTTAATCTTCTCGTTAGTCTCGAGTACAATGTTGGGTCCTAAGGCGGCTATCTCACACACCTCAGTCTAACAGACAAGAAACCTACAAGGTCTACCATACAATGCCTCAAATGGAGCAATCTGAATACTCGCCTGATAATTGTTGTTATAGGCAAACTCAATAAGTGGAAGGTGATCCTCCCAACTACCTTCCAAATCAATAACATAGGCCCAAAACATATCCTCCAAGATCTGGATGGTATGCTCTGACTGGCCATCCGTCTGTGGATGGAACGCCGTACTAAGGTGCAACGATGAACCAAACGCTGCTTGAAGTCCTTCCCAGAACTTTGAAGTGAATTTGGCATCCCTATCTGAAACAATAGCCTCTGGAATTCCGTGCAATCTTATAATCTCTTTCACATAAAGTACACTAAGTGCCTCTGCGTCATCTGTTGCCTTAATAGGAAATAAGTGAGCCGTCTTGGTCAATCTATCAATAATGACCCATACGACTTCATTTCCCCTTCTGACCTAGGAAGATCTGTCATAAAATCCGTGGCAATCTGCTCCCAGTTTCACTGTGCTACCAGCAATGGCTACAATAAACCAGCTGGTCTCTGGTGCTCAGCCTTCACCTGCTGACAGGTAAGGCACTTAGCCACAAACTGTGCAACGTCCTTCTTCATCCCACTCCACCAATACTATCGTCTCAGATTGTGATACATCTTGGTACCACACGGGTGAACTGCAAAGCAGGAAGTGTGAAACTCCCGTAAGACGTCCTCACGACAAACTGTGGGGACAACTAGTAAGTTCCTAAATTGTAGACCTCCATCTGCATGTATGGTCCAATCTTTCACTGTCTTACCACAAGAAATGAGAGTATGAATAGCATCCAAATTCGGATCCGGTCATTGTGACTCAATCACCTGTCTGACAAGAGTGAGCTGAGCCACAAGACTAAATAAGAATGCTGACTCACTGCCATTATCATCATCAAAGCAATACAATCCCATTTCTGTCAAATCTTCAAGCATCTTCCACTTCCGAATGGCTAAACTAGCCAAAGTCCCACGAGATTTTCGACTTAAGGTGTCAGCTACCACATTTGCCTTAC